GCTCCCGGTAGACATTCCAATGCGAGCCGGAACTTCCAGAGACGTTCGGTAAAAGACTTAAGGGACATGAATAGCCTTAACCTCAATCTCACAACTGACATCACTCGCGATCGGTCGATTCCAAGCCCTCGTACACCTCTTCTTCTTTTATATTTCGATCGATACCTCTATCTTTCTTTTGACTCTATCAAGATTAATGCTTCATCTCTTCTTACAGCGGCTCTCCTCTTAACAAAGCTACTACTCACCACCATGACAGTCTCCTCTTGATTGGCTAGGCTTGAAAGTGGCAGCGGCAGCGAGTCGAGCGATCGATCGGCTGACGGTATCGATTCGGTCGATGGACTTCTTTCACGGAGCGGACCATAGATGCTCTTCCTTCTCACAGAGTGACAGACGACGCCTCTACAGCTAAGTTGCTGCATAACAACAAGCGACCAGTACTACTAATAGAACAACAAGCGATTGGAAACAAGCGGTTCTTCCGTCTCGACGGATCGTTCGTTCGACGGATCAATTGCCTCACGGAGCCTCTGTTACGGAGCAACCACAGGATCGCTCCACGGAGCCATGGAATGGCCGTGAGCCTTTGACAGTGCTACTACTATTGCATGAAATTGGCAGCTGACACTACTTCTGCTGTCGGAACTGATTACAACATGAAAATCTGCTCCATTTTTATGCCATCAAGTCAACAATTCTCCTTCATCTCAATCTTCTCTCTCTTTTCGGGCTTGCGTTTGTCTTGATAGTTTAGATTCAGCCTGTACTGACACAGGAATCACCAACCACCCAAACAGGCCAAGAGCTAGGAAGTAACGAGGATGGATGAATGATGAATGGAATGGAATGGAATCGAATTCAATCCAATCAATCGAATGGTATGATATTGCCGCTCGGAGGATGCACTCTCCTCTTTGCACGCGTGTGTTGTCGTGTATCGGTAGCGGTAGCCTCCTCTGCAATTTTAATTCAATGATTGAATTCAACGACGCTCCTCCGCAGCGATCGATCGTTTGACTTCCCCCCTGCTCCTCACAATTCACCAACAACCAACTTGACTGTCATGGGCCGAGAAAGAAAAGAAAGAAAGGAAAACCTTCGGACGCAGTCGTACTTGGTACCGTACGACTGTAGCTAGTATAATAGGAATGAATCGAATCGAATCGAATCGAATCGAATCGTTTGGGAGGGTCCAGGACCGATCCTGTCGTGTCGACTGGAGAGCCTTGATACATACATGTAGTAGAATTTAGACTTTTCCCTTCCTTATTCTAATACATGTACATTACATGTAGTCACTATGGTGGTTTAGTGTTGGCAGCGAGTTTTTCCGTAGATAGTTAGTTGTAGTTGAGGATGTATTCGCGACGATGGCACCTTGGTTAGGGTGTCTCGATCTCTCGATACTCGATAGCATGGCCTGGAGAAAACTTTGTTTGTGGACACCATGCATTGTTGTGTTGGCGTTGTTGATGGTCGTGAGCAGTACCGGTACCAGTTACCACTGCTGGCACCAAAGGGAGGCTGCGTGAGAGCTCTTCGGCAGATAGATCTCTTCCTGCCTCAGCTTGACACCAAAACTCTGGAAGACAGCAGCTCAACAGCTCAGCTGTATCATATGTAAAGCAGCTGCGATCGATATCGCGTCATTCCAGAATGGCTGAAGCCTGTGTTTTAGCGATTTGGCAGTTAGTTCGTGACCTGTTTCAGTAAAATTTACTTAATCCAGTCACTCTTTGCTAAAATCGTATGATTCCAGAAAGATGGAGGTGAAAACGGACATTTCTGGGGTTCTCACCAATAGTGATTCTCCGTTGGGCCATTCGCCGTGTCTGGTGACTACTGGTACTAATGTATGTAGACTCCGGACTCTGGCCATTGCCACTGTACCGGTAGGTCTAATCTATAATAATAAGTAAATCCTTGTTGTTTCTGGTGAAAGACTGACACGAAGATCTGGGACCAGTGACATGAGTGATCCCGTACTACACTCTTTATAAAGTGGACAAGATTGCAGTAAGCCTTCTCGTTTAAAGACCGGTTGTCAACAAGATGCGTAACCAGTGTTCACTCTAATTCCTTCGACCCTTCTCTGTTGAAAAGCTCTCGATTTACACCAACTATGCGTAACCAGGGGAAATCTAAGGTTCCCTTCTTTTTCGAAGATAACCATTCAGCAAACGTTACCACTGAAAGAGTTCTTGGAACAGTACTTTTAGGGTTAGCACTAGGCGATCAAGCCCTGCATCCAGTCGATCCACAGCGAAAGATCGCAGGCAATGAAAACAATAATGGATGACCAGAAACTTGTTGGGTGCTTTGATTTGCCATTCTTTTGTTGTTGCTGACTTGAGCAAACCATCGACAGAAGAAGGAAGACATACTGTCATATATACAAGCTTTACCGTAGCCTTGAGCTTGGGTTGATATTGACTGTGGCACTTTGCTTTGCCTGCTTGACTGCCGTTGCTGTTTCCCTTTGCCCTTTGCCCTTTGCCATTGTTGCTGTTGTCGCCGTCGTTGTTGCCATAGCTGTCGCTGTTCCCGCTGCCGTTGTTTGTTGGTCGAGACCTCCAAGCAAGGAAGTCTTGAATAACTCTTTAAAACGAGGATCCAAAACAAAACAAAACAAAAAAGAAAAAAAGAAATCCTCAAGATGAAGACTTACGGCCTCCTCCTGGCTGTTCTGCTCGGACTCTCTTCGGAGAACCTTACAAAGGCCGAAGATGCCGTTCCTGTTGCCACTGGTACTGGTTCTACTGAAGAAGCTTCGGGTAGCCGCACCACTGATCACAAAAACATGGTCGCTGACGCCATCTTGGATCCCGACTTGGAGGACGCGGAAGCCATCCATCATTCTCATCTGCGTTTTCCCAACTTGGAACAAGGCCAAGATATAGATGAGCTTGAAGATGAACAAGTCGTTGAGCCTGCCAAGGATCCTCTCACTGATGAACAAGATATCAAGGAAGATCTGGACATGGAAGATCTTGGCTCTGCTTTTAATATTGGATCTGCTACGGCTACCGGTACGGCCACCGGTACGGACCCCAAGGCTAACCCTAACCCTACTATTGACCTCGGTCTTAAGAAACACATCAACCCAGACTTGCGCTTGCAGGTCGATGCCCACGACGAGATCTCCAACAAGACCAAACAAGATCAAACCCATGATGGGAACACGACGCACTCCAAGAATGATCTCCGTCACATCACTCTGTTCATCCCATCCAACACCACCAACCACAAAATGCCACACAACGCCGTGAACCCCGACCAAATCATCATCATGGGCGATGCCAGTACGGATTTATTTTCGCATTCGCTTCCCACCATGCAATCCAAAGAGGAGAATGACCCCAAGAGCCCCCGTCACGATGACGTCAAGCCGTCTGTGACCAACTACCAAGAACAAGAACAAGATTCGCACATCTACGCCCTCAGCAACAAGACGGACGTCGAGTCCAGATTGGAAGCCATGAAGCTCATGGCGTCGATTGACAAGCAAGTCAATGCCGACAGTGCGAAAGAAGATGATGCCGAAGAAGACACTGATGACGAACAAGAAGACACCGATGCAGTCACTGTCCGTCATGGCCGAAGGTTGGATCAAACCACTGACTGGTTGATTGGAAACACACGCATGTATGGACGACGAGAGACGGAAAGCCTACCCATTGGCTGGACTGCGGCCCAAAACTTTTGCAAGGCACAAGGCGGATCTCTCGCTTCTATCAAGGAAATTTGCCCTCCGGATGGAACCACCAATCGAAGGCCACTCTTTGGAATACAGGAAGGAGATCAGTGGGCCCCAATTTCCGATAACCTGAATCAGTGGGTGAACGTTGGAAGCGGTGGCCGATTTCCGCCATGCTACAAACATGGCGGTGCTGCTCCAGAGATTACTGGACAAAACCGCGGCCATGGGTGGGGCAACTATATCGTATGAATATTGGTAAATTTTGGACACCCAGTCAGGGACATTGGCGCTGGTGAAGATGGCACCATCTGGGCGGTAAGTGCCCTCATGGCTTGATAATGGATGCATCCTTCTCGGTCTGTTTCATTGTGTAACCACCCGTCACTCTCTCTGGTCTAACTCTATCTCACTCTCACTCTCTCATTCTCATGGTGCGGCAGATTGGAACTCATGATTATGGTAATGGTTGTTACAGCATCCATCGCAACACAGGCGGAGATTCCTGGCAACACATTGGTGGATGTTCACACAGAGTTTCAGTTGGCAGCAGTGCTTACGTAATCGTGCTGAGCCATGCGGGACATATACATCAATGGACCGCCAATGGATGGGTGTTTATACACAGCCCTCCAGCTCGAGCCATCAGTATCACCAAGGATGGAACCATCTGGATGACAGAGCTCGTGTCGGGATCTGCTCATGGGACAGTCTGGCGCAAACGGCCAGGGGATGCCATTTTCTTCGTGTTTGGTGGCGGGGGTGGTCGCATCTCTGGCACAAGTAATGGAAGAGCTGTACTTTGTAACCTTGGTAGCTCACTTTGGAGTCATGCTGGATCCCATGGTATCCAACAGGAAGGTGTCATGGAGCGATGTTAGCATGGCTGCTGATGGAACCATCTGGACAACAGGAGTGCCAACAGGCCAGCCGAATCCCGGACTGATCG